AATCATTTCAACGTCTTAGTTATGGTTGTGAAAGGTTTTCAATCATTCATCAGTTGAAGGGACTGACTGCCTCATGTTTTGACATGTGTGGTGAAGCTTTCGATTGCTGCTGTGTCTTTTGCACAGTTGAGTCTGTGAGTTGCAGAGAAAACTGCAACATGAGTGGTTTTTCTGCTGTGAGAATTGTACCAAAATGAGCCCATAAATGTCTGGGAACATCGGAAACTCGTTGCTGGACTTTTGGGAGAGAAAAGCTGTTCAGGCAGCCAATGCACAGACGTCTTTTATTATAAAGCCTTGCTGTTTTAATAGACACAGCGTGCCACTGTGGCAGCTTGTCCTGCTGAAACATGTACGCCCTTCCATAACAAAAGGTCAGTGGCAGCTTGTCTTACACACTCATGTCCCATCAGTTTACCATCAAAGGAGCTTTATCCACAATGTGCACAAACAACCAGGAAAAGCCTTCTCAGCCTGACAGGTTCCAGTGTTTGTGAAGGAGACACTTACACACCTGTGAAATCAAGAAACACTTTGTTTTAAAAATGGGATCCGAGGCAAGAGCAGCTTTCAGCAACAACAGCCAGTTGCAGCTAGAAGATGGTAGTAATGTGAACAATGGAAGCAAACAGACAAGAAGCAATTGTGAAACATGAAAGGTTTCACTTTGGTACATGGTTAATGGTTAATGGATGCCTTTTCTTCAGCTCTGGTCCTGATGGAAAGCCATTGTTTTAAAGATTTGAGATTCTATTCTGAATAAAATATGAGTTTTTGAGATTTGCACATCTTTGCAAAATCATGACCTAATTTTAAAACTTGCCAGACACAAAATGACTTTATGTTATGTCCTGAGCTAATAAAAAATTAAATCGGAAAGAGTTAAGAAAAGGTAACTCGTAGATTCTTCAAACAAGCACCACATATCCCAGCTGTTCTCTTGGCTTGGTTTGGTTTTGCTGCCATCACGGATGTCATGAATGTGTGTGTGTGTGTGTGTGTGTGTGTGTGTTGAAACCAAAATGAACTGAGAGCAAACTCTGTCTCAGTTCAAGTATATTGACTTTATACTGTTTTTAAAGACATTTTACACAGTGTTCAAGCTTTTTAGAAAAAGGTGATTGTGGCTGATTTTCCTGTAAAAGATCTGCTGTTTACTATTGTTACTTGACCTTAGGGGAGGAGGAATGCTTGACATGAAAATGTCCATATTATTATTATTATTATTATTATTATTATTGCCAAAGGTGAGAAAAGAGGGTAAATACTATACAGCAGTGGCATTCAGACAGCATTCAAATAGGAAAGCTTTCACACTGGTTACATTCTTACCTTTTATAGTCTCTCAGTTGCAAAAATGATTCAACCAATTGATTGATGATTCAACGGGAACTTCCAGTTTTTATAAATTTAGCTGACACTAACAATACACCGTAGTTGGTATAGTTTTGGTGCAGTGGTTGTAAACCTCTGTTGTAGAAAACAGTAGAGACTCAGTCAGATCTGGGACTTTGTTCTATTTAAAGTGTTTATTAATTCCATAAGACATGGTGGTCTTGGCCAGTGCTATTTATTATGGCTTTATTGTATTTTTGTAATCTTATAATCCCATCACAGTAGTATAGTGATAAGATCTGCGAATGTAGGGTTTGAATGTCTGGATTCATCAATGAAGTGTTGATTAGGATACTGCGCAATTTGAATAACGTATAAAAGTGTTTTTGTTTGCTTGTTTTTAATCATGAGCGCAAACTATTCAGACAATATATACATATATAT